AAGTTCAAGGATGAATTGATTCAAAAATAAAAGTTGAAGGACCAATTCAAATATTTAACCTAAAAAAATATGTTAGCAATGTCAGCATCACTATTCAATTAATCCTTAAATAGAAAAAGTTGAAAGTTGACATCCTTAAATAGAAAAAAATTAAAAGTTGACATCCTTATTTAAAAACTGACAAAGTTAACATCTTTAAATAAAAAAAAAATAAAAATTGATATCTTTATTTAAAAATTATCAAAATTAACATTTTTAAATAAAAAAAGTACAAAATTAAAATATTTATTTGCACCTTTATCCGTCTTGGGGGAGTGAACTTCCCAGGGCAGGGAAAATATCACAAGGTGCATCTTTCTTCTGCTTTTTCCGCTCCTATGTCCGACCTACGCAAAGCAAAAGGCACTTAACATCTACTTTTTCTCCTAGGTAAAGCAAAAAGCATTCCTCATAATTATATCATGGTACTGACTCAAAACTTTGAACTATATGGAAACATTTTACACTCGAATTCCTATTTATGAGGATAGAGAAATAGGAGATGAATAATAGGTTTTTATCTTTTTATTTACAGAGAATAAATTTTAATTTTAAATTTAATATAAAAAACACAGAATATCATTCAACTAATATTTAATATATGTTAATTAATCAAATAATTTAATAAAAATTTCTTTTCAATATAAATAAAGTATAAATTTTAAGTTTAAATTATATATCATATGTGGATATATAATATACTAAAAACTAAAAAAAAAAACTCATTTTGTATTAACATAATTATTTGTGAAAATAAACCATTTATAAGTCCAAAAAATCATTAATTTTAAATACAGGAAATTAATATAACAGTTAAAAGAAAATTTAACTTTATTACATTATTTGGATCATTTTACACATCACCTTTTTGAAAAAAATTTAATTTACTTGCCAATTTCTATATTAAAAAAGCATTAATTTATTTTTTTTCCTATTAAAACTTATTATTTACCACTCATTTGAAAGAATCTTAAACTTAATAATTATTCCATTTTGCCCAAAAGCACATCCCGGAGCAAAAATGTGAAAATAAAACGAGTGGACATGAATTTTTAATTAGTAATAATTGTCCTAATTTTAGTTTTTTGCATTTTCTTTGTAAGCCGTTAAACAAAAGGATGACACGTAAAATAGTCGAAGATGGAGTAAAAGAGTGACTGCGAAGATAAATTCTTGCCATATAAAGATGTCGAAGTAGCAGCCTACAATTACAGAGTCAAGAACGCAATGCCGAAACTTTATCAAAAAATATTTCATTTACCAGGGAAGTAGCTCTTGATGTATACAATATGATCGTTCCAAATTTTTGATATTTCATTTCTGCGTCAAAAAGGACTATCAAATTCAACACAAGAAAAAACGTTTGATGGTATATATATGACTGTCAACAGCTGCTTGCAGGATCTGAGTGAGCGTTTTCCAAACTGCAGCCATTTCTCCAGGTTTTAACAGATTCCCTGGATAATTGTGAATGAACAAAGTCATCAAATTCACCATCCATGTTCTCCATATTTTATAATTTGCTTCGTTTTCTGAAAATACTCTATATCTGTAAATGAAAACTGTATGCAGATTGAATCAAGCATTTTGTAAACCTCCTTGGCACTAACTATGACTTGTCGTTTGCCTGAATCAAGGTAAACCCATAGTTGCAGCATCTTGTCTAGCAGAAAAAATGTCCGCTTGTTCCTACATATCCCATAACAAAACCGTATTAACACAATCAAAAGGATTGTAGGTTAGCGCAGCATCATCACTTAAAGGTCAGAAATAAATATCTTCACTTTTTGGCCTCTCAATGCTGTAAAATGATAACCATACCTGAAGGCGATGTAACAAATACATCAAGAAGAGATGTACAAACACCTGCATAATTTTTCCCCAGGTTATTATACAAGTTTAATATTTGCAGAGAATCCTCAATTCAATACCCCAAATACAAGGTGAACTGTTCTTACGAGATAGAAAAGCAAGATTACTCGAGCTGTTGGATATCGCCAAAGAAATCTTGTGGCCCGGACAGCCCCTGAATCCAATAATTTTGCTGCCTTCTGTAACTTTATCAGGCAGGAAACACAAGTCAAAACAAATGAATACAAGGGCAAATAAGTATTGAATTACAAGAACAGTAATACCTGAATGCTTGCTGCAGCCATGTGACGATGATGCAAAGGAAGGGGCCTGAAATTATTGTTTCCATAGGAAAACTTTAGAGATTTTAAGAATTAACATGACCAAATATTGAGATGAAATGAAGTATACAGGAAAATATTTCAGGACCAAACAAATAAAAAATAAAAATCTCAATTATTTTTCAATTTTGACACAAATGAGATTTCACATGGACCAACATGTAGATCTGTTCATTTCAGTTAGAATACATGATATTGAACTAATCTCTACCTTCCTTTGAGTTTAAACAGATATTTGATGTTTACACAATAGCAGATGGGAATGCATGTGACTATTTCAGGTCATAACTGGTAACCTCATCAACATATAGCATTCCAAACATGCTACTATTCATTTCTCAGATGGTTACCAAGGCTCTAACAAAAATCCATACAATGTTTTAGTAGAGACCATCAGATACAACTGAAATACACAAATCATTTTTTGGAAGGAAAACAGTCCTGATCTAAGAGATGATAAAACAATTAGGTCATGTTGGTTGGGAGTAATAGCTATTTTTGGTCAAAATACAATTAAAAATAAGTCAAAATTGAGAAACTTAGCTAACAAACTAGGATTAGCTAAGCCTTAAGGTCAATCATTTTTCACTAAATTAGTGGATGATTAAGGAATAGGTATTACCACCTCCCCTTAAGGAATAAGTATTACCACCTTCCCTTGAGGAATAGGTATTCCTTCTTTTCCTTTTATCTAAAATAAAACGGGTATTCCTCGCTTCTTAAGTAAGTTTCCTTATTTTGCTTAATTTTTATGGTTTAACGAAGAAACAACCATTACTCCCAACCACACATAACCTTAGAGTTAACAAACAGATGTCAGTTCTTCATGAGATGCCAAAATATCAGGAAACAATTTAAAATTCCTAATTATTTGAAAAAATCAACATACTCAAGTGCCTTCATTTCAGTGTCTTCTTCCCATGAAGATGACGGACGACGTGAGACCCTACTTCTTTCCACCTCAATCTGTTAGATGCAACATTGGCATCATATGAAAACAAGGATATATGAAGATAAGGATAACAAATCGTGCACCATGTCAAAAGAGAAACCTGTGCTTCCTGAAGACGTTTTATTTCCTTCTCTAACTGAAACTCTGCTGCCGCTTTTTCACTAGCCATGGTTTCTAACTGAGTTTGTTTGTAGTACTGATCCATAGTAAGGGTACAAGAAGTCAGCATTAACTTTTAACTATTAGATAATTAAGAGAACAAATGAAGAGGATAATTTTCAGCTTATATTACCAACAGATCAGTTAGTTCACGGTAACGTTTCTCAAGCTCCATATGCTCCTGTTAAAAGGCAAAAATAATCAACAAGGTGATGCTTGTGTAGATTCCAACAATAGAACCAATCATGTAATGAAGAAATACACTCATGAAAATGAACAAAAACAAAGTCCAAGTAAACTTGATAACCTAACATCAATCATTTCCAGATTAGATTCTGACTCATTAACTGAGGAAACAGATACATGACCTCTTGCAGCAACTCAATGCCAGATGCGAAACAAAACCATTATAGTAACACATCTAATCGACATTAGACAGCTGCCTTTTTTTTTTTTTTTTGATAAGCACATTAGACAGCTGCCTTAAATGCCAAGAAAAGCTCTGAATCCAGGATATTTTCCACTTAGTTACAGAAGATATAGGTAGAGACCATTTAAGGGGGTTCTACTTGTAATGATTCAGCTGTGCAATATAAGTTATCATAACCTAGATGAGTTCTCAAGGAAACCTGGCCCTATGGAGTTTATATAACATGCTTGCAAGTCACAAGTATTACTAGATCTTAGTAATAATATAAGTTATACCTGCCACTTTCCTTTTTGGCCAAAAAGTTCTGCCATTAACTAAGCACTTAATATGAGAAAAAAACCATCAATAACTATGGCTCCATTTGGTATGGTTGTGATTTTTGCTTTTTGGTTTTTGGTTTTCATAAATTTTGCAACTATTGGAAAGCAAAACTAAAAATAAAAAACTAACAATTTGTTAAAGAAATGTTTTAACATTGACAACTAAAAAAATGAACTTATTTAATAGTATTAAAACTGTTTTTATTCTTAATTCTCTAATAATCATAATAATATGTTGCAAAAACACATGAAACTAAACAAGATTTTTGCAAGTTCCAAAATTTATCAAAGCTAAAAACAAAAACCACAACCATCTTAAACAGAACCTATACGTTTTAGGTTGTAAATCAATTCATGTTCATGTGTGTTATTTACACATCATCACACAAATGAAAATATAGATGTGCACATGCATGTAAGAAAGCAAAAGGAATAATAGATCAAAAGTCACCTGACGCGAATAATGCTCAGCATCCCTTTTCATGGCAGCCATTTCAACCCTCATTTTTTGCAATTCTGCCTGCAGCCACATAAACAGATCTCAATGAATTCATTAAATTGGCAGCAGAAATCAAGAGAAAAAGTTACAACTTATGCAGTAAGAGCAAAAATAATACCATCATTAGAAAGGGGAAAAAAAGAAACTGATACTTGCCTCCAATAATGAAAGCTTGCTTTCTGCTTCTCTTTGACCATGGCGTGCACGTTCAACTTCTTCCTGCCATGCCTGCATCTGACATCAAGATGAATGATTGTAGTACAATTACTTCTAATGTTGATGAACTAAGGGGTAAAGATTATGCTTGTAATTTATATCTGGAATATTTTTTCAACTGCTGAGCTTGTTTCTAATGGATAATAGATACCCACATTCACATTAGACTACATTTTGCATTGATATCACATAAGGGAGGTCTTTTGAAAGATTGTGGTTGTGTACATAACTTTCCATGGTGTGCATCAAAAATTTCAAGTGAAACAGTACCAGAAAATGAGACTAACACCAAAACCTCCACTTCACTAAGCCAACTCAAAAGGAAAAATGGAAAACACTACCTCAATACAATGCATATATTAAATAGCAATGCCTTGGATGGACAAAAATAAATACCAATGATAGTCAATAGATTATTCTCTTAACGAAATAATAAAATATATTTATAATAACATCATAAATGCTTCTAGTAATTATAGCATTCTAAAGCCTGTTATATAATACAATAATTCTCCAAAAGAAACTGAACAAGCATTCAAGATTATGTATCATGAAAACAAGAATTGAATAGGTTTGAATTATTAACAAGAAAATGGTTTGTTCAAGCAGAAGCACAGAGGTCCCCTCCATTGCATTTTGGTCTAAAAAAACAATTCCAGTGGATTGTGGCCACCACCATTGGGTGAAGCTTAGCACAATTCCTATGGA